TGAAAGCAAGCACAGGAAGTCCTGCGGACAATAAATCCTGCACGAGGGCAGAGGAACCAACAGGATTCCACATTCGGGAACACGGCAGGGTTGTGGAGACAGCGGGAGGGCGAAGTGTGGGGAGTTTGGGGTGGGACCACGAAGCAGAGGGGTGCAGAGCTGGGAGAGCTCTCCCCATCACCTCGAGTTTTGGGATCGAGCCCAGGTGCCGGCAAAGGGATCCTGCAGGACGCCCCGCTGTGACGTGGCCGTGTCAGGACGCGGAGCAGCGGGGCTCCATCCCGTCCTCATCGCCCGCGGAACGCCAGCGATCCTGGCTGTTCTGTGGGTACAGAAACTGCACGTCCCCACTGCTGGCCGGGGCTCCTGGCAGCCCCACGGAGGATTTGGCTGCGCAGGAATTTGGAAGCTGCCTGAAATCCCGAAGAAATGAGGAAAGGCTGAGGAGTGACGCGGTGACGGAGGCTCAGCCCCGCCGAGCGGCGGCTCGCAGCGCCCCACGCATGGCAATGGGAGCAAACCCGGAGCTGTGGTGTGGGATATCATCCCTTCCTCTGCAGGGGCTCCCCAGGGCCCCCTGACCCCATTGACCGCCCGTGGCTGGGGGTCACGTGCGTTGCATCCTTTGGGATGGGGCAGAAAACCCCACAGTGCTCACCGCCCCATCTCCGTTTTATTCCCCCCCCCCTCCCCCGCGCCCACATGCGGTTTCTTTTTAACCCTTCTGAGATGACAGCAGGGTGGGGGAGGGATGGGGCTGTTTGCTAAATGCCATCCACTGCAGTTAATCCCCCGAACTGACCCCGAGGCAGCACGGGGTGCGTTCAAATGAACGCTTTGCCATCTTTCAGCGCCGACCCGCAGCGCTCTGTGGATCTGTAGGAGCATCAGACAGACCCAGGGATGGGCAACAACGGCTCAGATGGGATCCCGAACACGATGGCATGAGCCTGAGCTAGGAAAGTACAGAGCCCAAACCCACCCCGTTGGGCACATGGTGCTGCACCGGCACCGCTCTGCAGAAGGCAGCTGGGGGCTCTGCCCGCATCCCAGCGCCGGCTGCGGGGGATTTAGCATCACCAGCACGGCCCTTCGGTTTGCTTTCCGTAGGAAAATAAAGCAGAGCTGTTTTGCAGAAGGTTCTCATTAGGGAAACATCTGGAGTCAGCACTTCTCCCCCAAAGGGCAGCGGAGTGCTCGGAGGAATCAGGGGAGGAGGAGGACTGGATGGTGAGGCGCGTTTCGGCGTGCTGCCGGGGCAGGGACACCAGGAAGGTCCCAGCAGCGCTCCCGAATCTGTGCCAGCGCCCGGATCTGTCCGCTGGGATGGATGGGGTAAAGATGGTCCTCGTCCCTTGGGGGCTGGGGACACGGGCTGCTGACAGTGCCGTCAGGGGACACCATGCCCTCCTCCGGGTGCCCTTCCTGCTGCCTTTGGGCACTCTGCCGAGGAGAACGGGTCCGGAGCAGCGCAGTGCGTAGCGCACAGCGTGCGACCCCCAGATGGGACTGTCCCCTCTCCTGTCCCCATCACACAGGCTGTAGTGACACCTGCTGGGCTCTCACCGGGGAAGTCCCATGGAACCCGCACGGCGCTGACCCTCCGGCGCCCCACGAACTCGCGTGGCAGCGCCTCCCTTCGTCCTGTGATAAACGACGGCCTCCAGGACCTGATGGCTGCGCTGGGTGCCACCGTTGCTGCGAGAACGTCGCTGTCCGTCCGTGGTGACAAAACCAAACTGGGATCCATTGCCCGCACGGGGCTCCGCCGGGAGCGGTGCTGCAGGGACAGATGGGCGATGGAGGGGGGGCGGCTGCGGTCACAGCCCCCACGGAGAGGGCAGGGGGTGGCACGGTGCTCCCGGGGGGCAGGAGAGACCCTGGAGCTGGAGAAACCCCGCACCCATCCGTACGGGGGAAAGGATGCGATGAGGAGCGGGTAGGGCTGGGGGCAGGCTGTTTATCTGGAACCGGTTTTGATTTTCCCCTTTCCGATACCAGCAGGATGCCGTGCTGCGCCTCATTATGCAAATAGAAGCAATTAGAGCTCACCCAGGCTCTGCCCACGTGATGCTTTATGGCACTCGCAGAAATCCTTCCTGCTACATGAGGGGAATGACAACGGCCCCGGGCTGCAGCCACCTCACCCCAACCACGGGGAGCTGATAGCAGAGCCTTTGGTGGAGCCCCACAGCAGGGACCGACCCCAGCAGGGCTCCCACAAGTGCCCCGGGAAGGGACCGACCGGGAGGAGCCCTCCGTCCTCCAGGTGACATCGTGGCACCGCATCCCCTGCGGTCGGGGTCGCAGCCCTCAGCCCCGAGGGCGGCACACGGGGCTGCGGTGCCACAGCGCGGCATAAAGCAGCGCAGCTCCGTCCCCCAAGCTGGGGCTGCCGTGGCGATCCCGTGGCGACCCGTTCAGAAATAGAATACGGAAGGCAAACGCAGACAGGGGCACTGAGCCACACCTGAAGATCAGCTCACGCCGGGCGTCCTCGTGTGCTTTGAATTCCTTGAGCAGAGAAGGGCTGTCCTGGACTCAGCTGTGGCACAAGGAGTCCATCAGCAGCGCAGGGAGAGGACAAGGCGAGGAGCAGAGCCTGGCACATGGCTGCCTGCAGCACCATGGGAACACAGCATCAGTGGCTCTGGTAGTACCTGAGGGCCTCTGATGGATGGGATGAGAGAGCTGATCGTAAATTGGAGGAGTTCTGGTAAAGGCAGAGGAATACAACCTGCATTGGGCACGGGGGGAAGGCAAATACCACATGGGGAGCAAATGTGGAGAAGGGCAGAGCTCAGGCAGCAAGGAGGCAGCAGGGCACAGCCTGCACAGCCAAGGGTGGGGAGGGCTGGAATCCCTTCCCGGGTTGGGGATGCAGTCGATGTGTTTTTAAAGGGGTTCTGTTTGTACTTCAAAACAAGCCTGTCTGTAATTGCCAAAAAAAATCATTAAAAAAAAGACAAAACAACCCGCTACAATGACTAATTAGCTCGCTCCTGCCTCGTACCCTGTAAACAAATGTATTTGTAACCAATTTGCAAGCACTTTGCATAAGGGGCCCAGAACACTCATGCCTGTTTGATGCATTTTGACATTAATTTGATAATAGCGGCTTAACAAGGAATCCAGGCTCCCCAGCTATAAATACGCTGCTTCTCCCCTTCCTTTTATCTGCACGCTGAAATAATGTTGTTTTTCCCCCTGCTGCAATAACCACCATCCAGCCCTTTCATGAACGCCCTTTATGTCCTTTAGCATTTTCAAGGCTTTTTTTCTCTTTTTTTCTTCTCCCCTCTCTTTTCTTCCCTCCTTCTGGAGAAAGCAAAAGGATTTTATGAGCTGTACTTTTAATTCCTGATTATAGAGGGGATGGAGAGGACAGCAGCGGTGCTCCAACAATGCTGCTTATGGGAGAGCAGCTCAGAAGTCCTTCCTCCACCCACCTGCGCTCTGTGGGAGGGATGCAGCTCATCCTCTTTTCCCTCTTCTCAGCACACAGTGGATCTCCAACTCCACGCAGCCCTTCGGTGCCCCACAGCAGCAAATGGGAGCACAGCAAAACGGGGAGGAGATGCTGGGGGCAACGCTGGTGCCACCCAGAGCACAGGGCCCAGCCCCAACCGGTGGCACTGCAGCATCACCGGAGCCACCACGTGTCCCACAGAGACCAAACCACAGCCACAGCTCATCCCTGCCCTAACAGCAGCACTTCTCTCCTTCTGGTTCCTCCTAAAGCTTCCCAATCTATTTGTAGAACACAGAAAGGTTGGGTTGGAAGGGACCTCACAGCCCCTCAGCCTCAACTCTGCTTTGGGCTCATTGCCTCCCCCAGCTCAGGCTGCCCAGGGCCCATCCATGACCTCAGGCACCTCCAGGGATGGGGCACCCACTGCTCCAGCATCTCACCGCCCTTTCAGTGAACCATTCCCCCTCACATCCAACCCACACCTCCCCTCTCCCACTTTAAAGCCATTCACTCTCTAGGAACACCACCAGCACCCCCCACCAGCCCACCTGGCAGAGATCAATGCCATCTCTGTGAGGTCAAAACCTGGGGATAAAACCTGAGAGAACAGCTCTTCTCGTGTCACATGAGAGCAGCCAGATCTTCTGCTGCACAGCATCGTTTTGGGAAGCAGAGAAATGGCTGCCATCCTTTTTGCATTGCCATTATTTAAGAAAACAGGGCAACGTGGAACAGCAAGAAAACTAAATGGCTGCAGAGCTCTCACCCTGCTGTCTCCCAGCTCCCCCACAGACCCCTCCCGGGAACATTCACAGCCCTGTGCCAGCAGATGTGCTGCAGGGGCACAGCACGGCTCCAGGACGAGCTGCTCCATCCTCAGTCGTGGCACCAACTGCTGCTCCCCAGCCCTCCTCGGGGATGATTAATGCCCAAACAGTGCAGGGAGCCCCTGTGATAAGCTGGGGGCCCAGCAGAGCCCGAAAGCACATTCCTTCCTCAGCCTCCTCCCTCCTTATCTCTCTCCTCCCTCCTCAAAACCACGGTTAGATAACGGTTATTGGAGCAATAAAATCCATAACTTAAACACGAGCACCAGGGATGGCCCCTGCCAGAGCACACAGAGCAGTGGAGCCCACGGGCACCATCAGATAGAGCCTCCAGGCAGAGCTGGGTGCCCACAGCAGCTGCAGGGCAGCCAGGTTCACCAACCCCAAGCCACACCAAACCACACCAAACCACATCCCCCAGTGGATCCTCCATAGATCTGCAACATCTCCAGGGCTGGCGAGTGCAGCCCTCACTGCCCCACCTGCACCACTCACCCAGCTGCACATCACAGAGCTTCGTCCTGCAGCAGTGAGGCTCAGCTGCTGTCTGGATGTCCACAAAGGCAACGCATCTCCTCCAGCACGTGAGCTCATGTTCTGCAGATAGAACAGAAGCCCGCAGTGCGTCCCACGGGGGAACGGACGGCTTTTGGCTGCACTTTCCAAGGGAAATACAAGGCAGGAGACAGCGAGAGACCTGGTTCAGAGCAGATTCACTCTTTATTAGAAGTTTTACATGCCGCTGCGTACAGGAAAGCTGCACATTCAGAATTAGACTCACCCCGAGAACACGGGGCTGGGTGCAAACACAAGCATCAGATGAGCGCGCGGATGGAGAGGTCCGAGCCCAGGAGCCTGGCAGCGCCACAGCCCAACCTCCCCCTGCCCCCCCCCCCAGCTGTGGGTCAGCTCCTTCCCTCCCAGGGCGCCTCTGTTCCCCAACCAGCAGCTTTGGTGGCAGCTCTGCACACCAAGCACCCGTTTCCTGCTCTCCCAACTCCCTTCCCACGCCTGCCAGCACAGCGAGCGCCCATTTCCCCCCCGCTGCTCATAGCGAGGGGCGACACAAGCAGGGACTCTTATGCTGACATTTTATTTTCAAAGAAAGTTTTGAAAGAGCAACATTTTCCCCAGCAGCCTTGGGCAGGGAGCTGCAGCTCCGCTTCAAAGGACCAACTTCAAAACCAAATCCAGCGTCCTAATGGTTTTGTGCTACATTACTTAATTGTCACGCAGCTCATTAGCAATGCCTGATTTCACGTTCGCCGCGCGGAGACGAAGTCCACAAAAGAAGGGGCTCCTTTAAAGCAATAAATAAAACAAGGAACCGGGCAACCAGGCTCCGATGGTGCTCACATAAAGCGTTACACTTCACTGCTTAAAAACCGAAATAAGAACCCCGCCGTAATTAAACGTGCATTGATCTGCCTTCCTCCAGAGCTCGGAGCTCTGACTTGGCACGGGGAAGGGGGGAATGCACTGCAGGAGTGGGGCTCAGCACGCACCCACAGCACCAGCACAGCGCAGGGAGCCTCTGCACAACGCTGGTCCCCTGTCGCTGAGCGAGAGCAGAAGCTGTAGATGGAACCAGGCGACCCTGCAGAGCAGGGGGGAAAGCTAAAAATAATAAATAAGTAAAGGGGAGGGAGAACGGAGCGCAGCAGAGGTCAATGCCACGAAACAATGGATATTGATGTCTCCATTCATTTCAAACAGCAGAAAGGTCAATGCCTCCCTTGCTTCGTGTTTTATGGCCGACATCCTGCTGCTAACAGCAACAGTGTTCGTAGTCAGACCCCATCCATCCTTTTTTACGATGATGGTTATTCCTAACCAGGTTGGCCATTTTGAAAACGTGATGAAAGCTGAGGAGAGGAGGTGGGAGGGAGGGGGGGAAGCCCCCTAGAAGTATCCGTGAGTCTGGGGGCTGCGTCCAAGGCAACGTCCCTTCACTGCTCATCACTATTCCCTGTACAGCATCCCAACTGGTTTCTATGGAAATGGTTCTCCTGCCAGCACGCCCGGCTGCCTGTGCATCCCTGCGGAGCCACAGAGCCACGTGGATGGTGCTTCATCCTGCAGCGCCCAGCCAGGGCTTGGGGCTCCCTGCCCCGAGTCCCAAAGAGCCACCAAAGAGGTGAGAGGACAGACCCTGCTGCAGAGACAGCCCTGGGGATTAATGCAAGCAGAGCTTCTGCTCTGCTATCCAGCAGCTTGCATCAGCAGCCCAGACCTGCGCTCTCCTCCCAGGAAGGGGACCTCCCAGCCCTGCACGCTGCCCAAAGGAAGCACAAACAGAACACACACAACTGTTGCTTTCCCCACTATTGCTTGCCCCCAGGATCTCCTCCTCCCAAAGGTGCACAGACACATCAGTGGTCGGCACACAGGTTTCTCCCACAGCCCCGGAGACGGTGGGTAAGATTTAGGGAGCAGCACAAAACACACCAGCAGGGACTGGGCAGCCCAGAGAGGCAGTGCCTGCAAGGAGTGCTCCTTCTGTAATGGAATCCATTCATTCCAGCCCACGGACAGCAGCATCAGCAGGCTGAGATCACCTCACTGGGCGCCTATAGGGAGCGGGGGGATATTTCTGGAGAGATGGGGACAGAGACCAGAGGAAGGGGGAGGGATTCTGTATTAAATAAAAGCTAGCAACAGAACGCCAATGCCTCCATTCTCTCCTGCTCCAACGCTGCAGGCTGGAGTCTCAGCACTGAGTGGGCTCCGAGTCCCATGCACTGCTCTGCTCAGAACATATGGTGTGATGCTTAATAGCCCAGCTCTGCCAATTGGGGACTATTAGGGTGGGTTCTTTTCCCAGTGTAAATGTTGCAGAATATAAATTGTAATTAACACCGATGCCAAAATAGCACTTAGAGAAAATAAGCACATTATTAACATCTGGTGAATCCTGCCTGCAGTGCAGAAGCAGCGGAAATTCTCACTCACCATAAGAGGATTTGTGGCAGAGATAGGAGCTCCAGACCATGGCCGGGGTGGGCAGAAGGCATCTTCCCCTTGTTGTCACCATTTTGTAGTGCTGTCTTTACTACCTGTGGGCGACCTTTCCCAGCCCCAATCATAACTGCTAGCGTTTGCATCAGGACTTCTGACCAGCTTGCATGAATACAGATGTCTGAGCATCACACTCTGGCCAACAGAATAATGGTGTTACAAACCAGGCCTGACTGCCTGCCCCGACCCAGCAACACAAGGCAGGTGGGTTCCACTTTGCCAAGAGGAAGGCATGGCCTGCTTTGTGGGGCTGCTCTGACCCCCAGGACCAAAGGATTAACTCTGCCAGCTCTGCCAAATCCTGCTGGTGCTGCTGTGCGTTGGTGGAGGAAAAATGCCTGGTTGGGATGAGAATGGCCTTCCTCCTGCTGTTGGGATTCCTCCATGGGACAGGACAGGTTTCCTTAAGCGTTGGTGTGGGCTCCGTACCCTCAGCCTTCCCTTCACCCTGCCTGAGAGGCAGAAGGAGAGCAGCACAGCACTGGCACTGCTTCCAGCAACTCGCTGCCTGACCCCCATCAATTACTCCAGGAAAGAAACCTGGACACACACCAGGCAGAGCTGGAGTGGATTGAACTGGACGGAGCAGAGGCTCGCTTTCCTGCCAACAAGCTCTTGGGCTTTGCTAGAGCGTGGGAGGAGGAGAGAAAAAAGTTGTTGGAGAGGGAGAGAGGGATTCAAACAGGCAAGCAATATGGCACGAGGTAGAAAGAACAACCTCACAGGGAGAGCAAACAGCAGCAGGATGCCAACAGCGGGGTGCCAGCGCCGTGCCTGACCTGCGGCGGTCTGCAGCGCTCCAGGAGGGCTCCCGGCTCCACTCTGAGGATGGGGAGGATGTGGTTGCTTCCAGAGGCCTCAGCACGGCTGCTGCTGGACCCAGACCTGAGCAGGGAAGGGAGAGAAGCTCAGGCAGACAGCAAACACGTGCAAGGGTTGGTTTGAGCAATGCACAGACACAGAGCCGCTCACCATCACCTACCTGAGTGTAGGCTCATAGGACAGAATTGCAGAACGGCCCGGGTTGAAAAAGACCTCAAAGATCATTTAGTTCCAAACCCCCTGCCGTGGGCAGGGCCGCCAACCACCAGACCAGGCTGCTGAGCCACATCCCATTAAAGCACTGCTCAACACGAGGGCACGTATAGGAGATAGCAGGTGCAGAGTTTACCAGCTCCAGCTGACGGCTGCTCTGCAGAAGACAGAGCCACTGTTCTGCCACAGGATGCTCCAGCAAAAGGGAAACCCGACTGCCACTCAGCAACGGCGCTCCAGGAATTCACGACACAGCTTTTGGTACAGCTGTCTGATGCTTTCAAAGTGCTCAGTAAATAAGGCAATATGAAAGTGATCCAGACCACTACCGATGCCTGAGGATCTCTGGAGCAGAGAAGCTGACCGAAGTCATGCTGTGAAGATGCTTCACTACGCCTCTAAGATTAGCATCAACTCAGAGCATGGGACCTAAAGACAGAGCCAGAACACTACATCCCCATCGAAAAGGCAAGACAGACTGCGCTTAAATCAGAGCTGAGCCTTAACTCAGTCAGTGTAGGCTCCACCTCCCCCAGGACAAGGACTTCCAAAACAGCTGAGAACATCTTCCACCACGTCAACTGAGCATCAGCAAGGACACACACGGCCAAGGTGCTCATAACCACGATTTGTTATTTAAAAAATAAAAGCTAGTCCTTGTGGTACTCCTCAATCTACAGATCATGAAGTATCTGTGACTGCGCGTGTGTGGCTACCAATGTGTGCCTGTAACACAGGAAAGATGGGATGCATCTCAACGGAGCGACACACTGCTGTGCCTCTTAGCTGTCCGAGGCTTCTACTTTGCCAAAAACAGACCAAAGCAAAGAATGATTTCCACCAATATCACAAAGCACACTGCCAAAGTACACGGGGGCCCTTGGGAAATACACCAGGCGACACGGGGGAAAGAGAGTCGTTAAGTCAGGTTCTCTTACCTTCAACTTCAGTAAAGGAACAAAGCAATTCATTATTAACCGCAAGGAAATACTCATCGTGTTCCAGAAGCCTTTGAGACAGGCTGCTCAGATGCAAGCATCATCCGAGGAGACGTTTCCCCACTTCAGATGGGCAGCTTTTTATTTTGCAACTGCACCTATTGAAAGTGATTGTGCAGCACCCGGGGAGGCGGCCGGGAGCTGCAGGAGGGGAATCCAGGCCAAAGAGAAGCAACCCTACACATTCACACCGCCTGTCCCCTCCGTGCTGTCACCACCACAGGTTGGGGGGCTCCTCGGCCACTCTGCTTTTAAACAAGGTGATCTCATCCAAGTGCCTCATGGGGACGTCTCTGATGACCTCTGTCAAGTCCTCGTGAAGCAGAGGGAAAATGACGACGTTTAACGCCGGGCGGTCCGCCTGGAAACTAAATCAGACACAGGTTATTAGCAGAGGAGAAGCACTAATTACTCCATACAAACAGCACGGGGATTGGATGGCTGTACATCTTGTGGCAGTGAGGGCAGGAGGGGCTGTTCAGAGGGGGCAGCTGCGAGTCAGGGCTCCCACTCCCCCCCTCCTCCTCGTGCCCCTGCACGGAGCACAGCCAGGCTTTTCAGCACACCCCACTTCAGCACGTCTGCTGAGCTGACACACAAGCCCAATTCCAGCCTGCTGCAGGAAAGGAGGGGAGAAAAAAAAACCATTAAAAAGAAATCACAGCATAAAGATATCCTGAGAGGAGCAGAGATGGCAGCAGCGCTGCCCAAGCCGAGCAGTGTGCTCAGAGATAACAGCTTAAGCCACCTGCAAACCAGCAGCAAGATGCAGCACCATTAGAGAAATCAGGGCAGAGCAGTGCTGGGCAATCCCTGAGGGCTGAGCCCCAGATCCACTTCAGGCCCAGTTGTTGTGCATGCAGAACCTATCCTGCGCAATTAGAGCAAGGCAGGTCTAGAAAGCTCAGATCTGCAGATCAGCATTTCAGTGCGCTCACACACGCACTGCAGCCTCCTTTTTCACACAAGTCACAGAAAACCTGCCTTGGCACCACGTGAGTTTGTCCTCACGCATGCAAGCATCCCTCTCTGTAATTCTGGGCTCCAGCCTCTGAATTCACAGCCTTGCTGTTTTCATGCCCTCTTAGAGAAATCTGCAGTCTCCTCCTGCCCTCCCAGCTCCACTTGCCAGCACTGCTCAGCTGGCTCTGCTTTCCAGCACACACTTAAAGTCCCAGACCTTGAGAGCAGCAAGCATTAAAGCCATTTATACTATATGAAAAGAGCCCAAGTCCCCATCAGCAAGTATTCTGCATGACAGCAGCCTAGCAGGAGAGCACGGGGGAAGAGAATTTGCTCAGTGTAGCCAAATGAGATGAGTTCAGCTTTTTAAAGCCAGGGGGTAAAGGAAGTTACGCCGTAGCTTAAGGTGACACCCTTGAGATTAAAACACTTTGCCTATTAGCACCGTGCCACTGAGATGCTCCCTCTGAGCTGTGTGACAGGGGCCAGCTCCTCGTCACTCTAAGCAGGCAGAGTGGAACTGGCAGCATCAGTCCCCTGAGGCCGAACCAAGTTGTGCTGGGGCTGGAGAAGAGATCACTGCTAAACAGGCTTCTCACATGCAGATGTGCCTGGAAAATTCTCAGCTCATCCTTAGCACTGATACAGCTAGATTCCTCTCCAGCAGAGAGGAACGGAAGGAGATTTGCTGCTGGAAACTGTGAAATCCCAGGTAACCAGTGCTAGCACTACGGCCGAGAAAAGGCAACAAGAGATGGTATTTCCAGGGGGAGAGAAAGGATGCTCCCCTCCACAAATGATTTGCAGTACAGTTTGTAGCACAAACTCCCACACCAAGTTCAGTTGTTTGGTCCTGGCTGGTTAAATTAATTGGTCTGAATCTGAGCAGCTGCAGGAGCGAGGATTTCCAGCAACAAAACGACCCGGGGCAACGTCCTGCCTTTCTGCATCACAGAGCGCCCTTCATGCCTCACGCCTGAGGGCTGCAGGGAAGGACAGAGCTCCTGAGTGCAGCTGGAGGCTCGGGAGCAAGGCAGTCTTTGACAGCCCCTCCTCAGCTCCCCGTGCTTCTTACCCACAGCCCTGCAGAGGAAATTGTGCTCATAGACCAAGTTTGCTGCAGGAAGAAGCAGCTGTCTTCATTGGAATACAGCTCTCCTGACTGTGAACTCCCCAAACCTCCCTTTTCTCTTTGCGTACAGGCTGCCATCTCACCAGATACAAAACTGTAGCTTATAAGCAGCCTTGCAACTATAAAAACAAGAGCCCAGACAGGTTCACATGACAATCTGCCACCAAGACAACTGAGAAAGCCCAACACAGCCAGAACACCTTCCAGAGAGGCTGGGTTTATAGAATAAGTTTGAACTCGATCTCACAAAAAGAAAAAAGAAAAAGAAAGCTTTGTAATTTTCTCTCCTCCCCGCCCCCCAACAGGAAACTGTAAGTTACTGCAAGCCTTGTAAATTCCATACTGCAGCAAGTTGACACTGAAGAATTCTTTCCATGTACAATTTGTGTGAGTTAAGAAAAAAAAAAAAATCAAATGCACATGGCTCACCATTATCCTCAGCTAAACGTGCGTGCAAAGCCTCTCCCTTAACTGCCTGTTAAAAAACACCCTGATTTTAACGAGCAGCTGTCATAATGTTACACTGGGATTAGCAGTTCCCAAAAGCAGACTCCCTTTGCAACCTATGCTCCTTTAGTTCATCCCCGGAAGGCAATTCCTTTCTTCATACACCTGTCCAGGTGGGCTAGATTAAGTGAGAAGCTCTGAAAGCAGCAGTTCGAAAGGCCCTAGGCACGGGGAGGAGATAACAAGAAGGGGAAGAGATTGAGTTAATCAGTTGCAGAATAGCTCCTGTAATCTTCTTGATGGTTCTTTCCTCATTCTGCACCTGGATGGACTTCAAACTGGATCTACCTCCGCAAGCACACGGCTTGTAAAATGAAAACTCCAAGGACAGAGAGGGATGTCGACCTGGGGAGACAAAGGAGCTGCAGTTCCAGACATGAAACCCTGCTTTTTTCCAAGGGAAAGGAGCCAAGGATACGCTCGCTTCCTACAAAACCTCCAGACTAAACTCATCACGATTAATTAAATGAAAGCAAGTTTTCTAGGCAACTGACTAGCAGCCCCTTCAAAACAGATCCTTTAATCAGAAACAACCACTGGGCTAACAAAGAAAATACACATGCATGCATTTTCCAGAATAGCCTCTGGTCCAGCAGACTCAACGCCAACCCAGCAACCACCCAGCAGGAGCTCTCACAAGCAGCTCCCTGATCCGTCCCCGTTCGGATGGCAATGTTCAGCAGGGCTGGCTGCAGCAGCTGGCTGGGAACAACCGTGGAGCTGAAAAATGGGTAGCAAAGTGTTATCACCAATTCCTCCCTGTGTCAGCGGGGGTATAACCTTGTTGTGTGCTCAGACCTTGAACGGGCTGCACGTGGCTGCAAGGGTTAACGGTGCTTTGTCGTTTGACTCCAAAATTATCCCAGAGCAGGTGTGGACAGTAAGGTTATTTTCAAGCCAACAGCTTGGTAAATAGCTTAACGCCACGGTCTCAATTGCTTCCAACCAGCGTGGCGGGATGCAATATGTAGGTCAGGGACAAAGTCAAAAAGAAAGGGAAAAATTCTTAAAGCAAGGTCTGCACTTTAATCAGATCTCCTTGATTTTAGCAAGATAAAAGAGTCACTGCCTGGAATGCAGTTATCTCCCAGCAAACACTCCCAGCCTGTGCTTCCTGACATGCCAGGGGGCCGACCGGTCTGCAGAATCCCAGCTGCCCATCCAGCCACAGGGCAGCCCAAAGCTGCAGGTGAGCCCTGCAGTGCCTGCTCTGCACAGCCACACAGCAGCTGTGCTGTGCTGGGGTGGCTCAGACTCACCTTAGGCAGACAGGACGAGGCAGCATCTGGTACTGAGCAATGTGTTTCCTCCAGAGATTTGCAGAGACGCCTGAGAGAGGTGCTGTGCCAAGTGGGGATGTTGCAGCACATCCCACCCCCCAGATGCTGGCAGGCAGCGGAGGGCACAGAGGTGGTATCACTGAGCACTGGCAAGGCAAGAAGCACATGCCAGATAAAACAAGGAAATACAGTGTATCAGGAGCGGATCAAGGCCAGCTTTTAAACTCCACAAACACAGATAAGCTTATGGGAAAGGAGGCTCTAGGAAAGGAATGAAAGAAAGCCAGGAGACGCTCGAGGTGGGGGAACGAGACGTGGTAGAGACAGAGCAGATATGGACTCCTGTAGGTGTGATCTCAGCAGCAGCTCAGCCCCTGCTGCAGCCACATACCCTGCCCTGCTTCATCCAGACCTTGTGCTCAGCCTGGTGAGCTGCTTGCAGAGAGCAGCAGCAGCGGCCTGCCTCGCATCTCACACCGCACACAGCTCTCACCCACACGCACAAAAACCCCGTTAATCCTCTGCCAGGCACAGCGTCAGCTTGTTTTTACTGGAAGACTTGCTCACGTCTGAGAGTTCAGATGTGGCATCTGACTTGTAAGCTTCAGCCAACGTACCTGAGCCAGCCTGGAAACTCCCGTGCCCGGAGCACAGCTCAGTGGAACAGAGGAAGCGCCAGGACACGCTGGGGCAGCTGACGAGTGGCACCATCCAACTGCATACACACACTGTCCTCATCTTTTCAGGAAGGCCAGGCGTACACCTCAGGTTTGTTCCACTGGTTGTGCACAGACCTCAGGGAACTGCCAGAGCTCTGTTTGTTGACAGGGACTGCCAAGAGCGTGACGTGGAGCTGCTCCAGAGCTGCTTCCAGCCACACAGGCACCTTCCAGGAGGACCCCTGCCCCCACACAGCCCCCAGAAGGCTCTCAAGGGATCCAAAGCCAACACACTGAGTCTCTGCAGCAGACCCAGATCCTAACACCAGTACTGCTTCCAATACTCTGGCACGGCTGGTGTTGAGCAGGCTTCATCATCCTACCTCAGAAATAGACTTCCGAAGTTCCCCAGGAGAGCAGTTGTGTAATGGCCTCAAGCTGCACCAGGAGAGGTTCAGGTTGGATATTAGGAAAAACTCTGCAAGAGTGCTCAGACACTGGCACTGCTACCAAGGGAGTGGTGGGTACCACCCCTGGAGGTGTCCCAGAACCGCAGAGACTGGGACGTGGTTTGATGTCATGGTGGGGGTGGGTTGGGGTTGGACTTGGCGACTCAGAGCTCTTCCCAACCTCCATGATAGCAGGATTCTACAGATCGCTTTCACCTCCACACAAGGAAATCCCTTCATAAAGCATCTCCCCTCACTTTCAGTCCCATCACTTCAGCCTCCACTCTGGCAAAGGACATGGATGGCACTCTGGAAGGAGGTCACATACAGCACCTCCATCACCCGCTGCCTTCACTGCAGCATCCTCTGCCACCGCAT